GGGCCATTCTGACTGGTGTGAGGTGATACCTCATTGTAGTTTTGATTTGCATTTCTCTAATGATTAGTGATGTTGAGCATCCTTTCATGTGTTTTTTGGCAATCTGTATATCTTCTCTGGTGAAATGTCTATTTAGGTCTTCTGCCCATTTTTCAATTGGGATGTTTGTTTTTTTGATACTGAGCTGCATGAGCTGCTTGTATATTTTGGAGATAATCCTTTGTCAGTTGCTTCATTAGCAAATATTTTTTCCCATTCCAGGGGTTGTCTTTTCATCTTATTTATGGTTTCCTTTGCTATGCAAAAGCTTTTAAGTTTCATTAGGTCCCATTTGTTTATTTTTGTTTTTATTTCCATTTCTCTAGGAGGTGGTTCAAAAAGGATCTTGCAGTGATATATTTCATAGAGTGTTCTGCCTATGTTTTCCTCCAAGAGTTTTATAGTGTCCTGTCTTATATTTAGGTATTTAATCCATTTTGAGTGTATTTTTGTGTATGGTGTTAGGGAGTGTTATAATTTTATTCTTTTTCATGTAGCTGTCCAGTTTTCCCAGCGCCACTTATTGAAGAGGATGTCTTTTCTCCATTGTATGTTCTTGCCTCCTTTGTCATAAATTAGGTGACCATATGTGCGTGGGTTGATCTCCAGGCTTTCTATCCTGTTCCATTGATCTATATTTCTGTTTTTCTGCCAGTACCATACTATCTTGATTACTGTAGCTTTGTAGTATAGTTTGAAGTTGGGGAGCCTGATTCCTCCAGCTCCGTTTATCTTTCTCAAGATTGCTTTGGCTTTTCGGGGTCTTTTGGGTTTCCATACAAATTGTAAAATTTTTTGTTCTAATTCTGTGAAGAATGCCATTGTTAGTTTGATGGGGATTGCATTGAATCTGTACATTGCTTTGGGTAGTATAGTCATTTTCACAATATTGATTCTTCGAATCCAAGAACATGGTATATTTCTCAGTGTGTTTATGTCATCTTTGATTTCTTTCATAAGTGTTTTATAGTTTTCTGATTACAAGTCTTTCGCCTCCTTAGGTAGGTTTATTCCTAGGTATTTTATTCTTTTTGTTGCAATGGTAAATGGAAGTGTTTCCTTAATTTTTCTTTCTGATTTTTCATCATTAGTGTATAGGAATGCCAGATTTCTATGCATTAATTTTGTATCCTGCAACCTTACGAAATTCAATGATTAGTTCTAGTAGTTTTCTAGTGGCATCTTTAGGATTATCTGTGTATAGTATCATGTCATCTGCCAACAATGATAGTTTTACTTCTTCTTTTCCAATTTGGATTCCTTTTATTTCTTTTTCTTCTCTGATTGCCGTGGCTAGGACTTCCAAAACTGTGTTGAATAAGAGTGGTGAGAATGGACATCCTTGTCTTGTTCCTATCTTAGTGGAAATGCTTTCAGTTTTTCACCATTTAGTATGATGTTTGCTGTGTGTTTGTCATATATGGCTTTTATTATTTTTAGGTAGGTTCCTTCTGTGCCCATTTTCTGGAGATTTTTTATCATAAACCGGTGTTGAATTTTGTCAAAAGGTTTTTCTGCATCTATTGAGATGATCATATGGTTTTTATTCCTTAATTTGTTAATATGGTGTATCATGCTGATTGATTTGCATATACTGAAGAATCCTTGCATTCCTGGGATAAATCCCACTTGATCATGCTGTGTCATCATTCTAATGTGTTGCTTGATTCTGTTTGGTAGTATTGAGGATTTTTGCTTCTATGTTCATCAGTGATATTGGTCTGTAACTTTCTTTTTTTGTGATATCTTTGTCTGGTTTTAGTATCAGGGTGATGGTGGCTTCATAGAATGAATTTGGGAGTATTACTCCCTCTGCAGTTTTTTGGAAGAGTTTGAGAAGGATGGGTGTTAGCTCTTCTCTAAATGTTTGATAGAATTAGCTTGTGAAGCCATCTGGTCCTGGACCTTTGTTTGTTGGAAGATTTTTAATTACGGTTTCAATTTCATTACTTGTGATAACTCTGTTTATATTTTCTAATTCTTCTTGGCTCAGTCTTGGAAAATTGTACCTTTCCAAGAATTTGTCCCTTTCTTTGTGGTTGTTCATTTTATTGGCATATAGTTGTTTGTAGTAGTCTCTTATAATCTTTTGTATTTCTGCAGTGTCAGTTATGAATTCTTTTTCATTTCTAATTTTATTGATTTGCATCCTCTCCCTTTTTTTCTTGTTGAGTCTGGCTAAAGGTTTATCAATTTTGTCTATCTTCTCAAAAAACCAACTTTTAGTTTTATTGATCTATTCTATTGTTTCTTCATTTCTGTTTTATTTATTTCTGCTCTGATCTTTATGATTTCTTTCCTTCTACTGACTTTGGGTTTTCTTTGTCCCTATTTCTCTAGTTGCTTTAGGTGTAAGGTTAGATTGTTTATTTGACATGTTTCTTGTTTGTTGAAGTGAGAATGAATTGCTATAAACTTCCCTCGTTGAACTGCTTTTGCTGCGTCCCATACATTTTGGGTTGTCGTGGTCGTTCATTTCTTTTTCTTTTTTTTTTTAGCGGTATGCAGGCCTCTTACTGTTGTGGCCTCTCCCGTTGCAGAGCACAGGCTCCAGACGCACAGGCTCAGCGGCCATGGCTCACGGGCCCAGCTGCTCCGCGGCATGTAGGATCTTCCCAGACCGGGGCACGAACCCGTGTCCCCTGCATCGGCAGGCAGACTCTCAACCACTGCACCTCCAGGGAATTCCCCATTTCTATGTAATTTTTTATTTATTTGACTTCTTCAGTGATCTCTTGGTTATTTAGTAGCACGCTGTTTAGTCTCCATGTATTTGTGTTTTTTACAGTTTTTTTTCTGTAATTAATTACCAGTCTCATAGCATTGTGTTCAGAAAAGATGCTTGATTCAATTTCAATTTTCTTAAATTTTCCAAGGCTTGATTTGTGAGCCCAGATTTGATCTATCCTGTAGAGTGTTCTGTGTGCACTTAAGAAGTATATTCGGCCACTTTTGGGTGGACAGTCCTATAAATAACAATTAAGTCCATCTTATTTAATGTATCATTTAAAGCTTGTTTCCTTATTTATTTTCAGTTTGGATGATCTGTCCATTGGTGAAAGTGGGGTGTTAAAGTCCCCTGCTATGATTCTGTTACTGTCGATTTCCCCTTTTATGGCTATTAGCATTTGCCTTATGTATTGAGGTGCTCCTATGTTGGGCACATATATATTTATAATTGTTATATATTCTTCTTGGATTTATCCCTTGATCATTATGTATTGTCCTTCCTTATCTCTTGTAACAGTCTTTATTTTAAAGTCTATTTTATCTGATAAGAGTATTGCTACTCCAGCTTTCTTTTGATTTCCATTTGCAAGGAATATCTTTTTCCATCCCTTCATTTTAAGTCTGTATGTGTCCCTAGGTCTGAAGTGGGTCTTTTGTTGACAGCACATATACAGGTCTTGTTTTTGTATCCATTCAGCCAGCCTGTGTCTTTTGTTTGGAGAAGTTAATCCATTTATATTCAAGGTTATTATCGATATGTATGTTTTTATTACCATTTTTTAAATTGTTTTGGGTTTGTTTTCATGGGTCTTTTTCTTCTCTTGTGTTTCCCGCCTAGAGAAGTTCCTTCAGCATTTGTTGTAGAGCTGGTTTGGTGGTGCTTAATTCTCTTAGCTTTTGCTTGTCTGTAAAGCTTTTGATTTCTCTGTGAATCTGAATGAGATCCTTGGTTGATACAGTAATCTTGGTTGTAGGATTTTCTCTTTCATCACTTGAAGTACATCCTGCCACTCCCTTCTGGCCTGCAGAGTTTCTGCTGAAGAATCAGCTGATAACATCATGAGGATTTCTTTGTATGCTGTTTTTGCTTTTCCGTTGCTGCTTTTTTTCTTTGAATTTAATTTTTGTTAGTTTGATTAATGTGTGTCTTGGTGTGTTCCTCCTAGGGTTTATCCTGTATGGGACTCTGCACTTCCTGGACTTGGGTGACTATTTCCTTTCCCATATTAGGGAAGTTTTCAACTATAATCTCTGCAAATATTTTCTCAGACCCTT